AGATTTTGCGGGTGCCGTCGTACATTTGACAGGCAAGAGAACACCCGGTGATCTAGTCAGTGCCTCAAGGCTAGGCAAGTCTGGCACGGCTGGGAAGTCGGGACAGTTTGGGCAAGAAGAGTGGGTGAACAGCGTCACGATCCTCAGGTCCCCAGGCCTTGCCTTAAAGCTCGAATATTGCGATGATGGCAGGGAAGACCCTTCTCTATTTGCTGAAGTAAGGATCGACGCGTCTAGCAACATATTGTATCCCTCAGTGGTGCCTTTGATTGTGGAAATAAGCAACAACATCAAGTCAGTGGTCAGCGAACGAGGAGATGGTGCCAACCCTCCCAGTCCTCCGCCAGCACCTTCCCCCAAGGCTAAACCAGCTGAAGAGGACGGAATTCTCGGTGCTGATCCCACCGCTGTGCTGGGTCGTGTGAAGCTTAATCTCGGCCTGCGTGTCCGGAAGCAGGAATTTTCGTTGAGCTGTCAGCCTATCGCTCTAGTGGCGGCCACCGCCAGTTTTGACGACGTGTACTTTACCGCCAACACCGTCCGGTCGGCTGACCAAGGCAACTTCTTTGCAATATCTGGAGCCTTTTCAAACCTCCAGGCTTCTATCCAACACGTCTATTCGCGGGAGTCGACCGGAAGCTTTAACGTTGACTCGATAGTTCTGTCGCTGATGAACAGCAAGCATGTAAGCGGCACCAACGGGCTGTCTGCGATTCTCAAGGTTAGCCCCATGCAGGTGTCGATCAACGCAAAGCAACTGCAAGACTTTATGCTTTTCCAAGAGATATGGGTCCCCCGTCAATTTACAGAAACGACGTCGTCATCGCCAGTGGCCAAACTGGTTACAGAGACTTCACAGGGTCATCTCGTGCAGCGCTACCAGCAGGTTGCGGCAACTGCTGCCTTCCCTTGGACTGCCACCATCTCTATCACCGCATTGAAGATTTGTGTGGATTTAGGTCAGGCCCTGGGCAAATCTACGTTTTCCATCGACAATTTCTGGATCTCGTCCAAAAAGACGTCAGACTGGGAGCAAAATCTTTGCCTTGGCTTTGACATGATTGGCATGGAAAGTCAAGGCCGGATGAGCGGCTTCGTGGCACTGCGGGATTTCAAGCTACGTACCTCCATCAAGTGGCCTGAACGAGAACAGGCCTTGAACGAGACACCTCTTGTTCAAGCGTCTGTTGCATTCAGCCAGTTCCGGGTCAAGGCTGCTTTCGACTACCAGGCTTTCCTAGTTGCAGACATCACGTCCATGGAGTTCCTCATGTATAACGTACGGCGCAGCCGACAAGGAATGGGAGACCGTCTCGTCGCTATCTTTGACGGCAATGCCGTCCAGATCTTTGGAACTACCAGCTCGGCCGCTCAGGGCGTGGCTATGTACCAGGCCTTCCAACGGCTCATTCAAGAGCGTAGAGCAAACTTTGAGAGCTCTCTCAAGGAAATCGAGCGATTCATGAGGAGGAAATCAGTCACGGCGCCAGCAGCAGTCATAAAGCGCCTTGATCAGAAATCCAAGCTTGCCTCCGAAGCGGACGATACGCTCACCAAATCACCCATCTCACTGGACACCGACGTCGTGGTAACCCTCAAGGCCCTCAACTTAGGTGTCTTTCCCGGTACCTTCGCCGACAGCCAAGTTTTCAAGGTTGAAGCCCTGAACGCCCAGGCCCGGTTTGCCGCCAGCATCGAGGACCGCCGAATTCACAGCATTCTAGGTCTGACACTAGGCCAACTTCGCATCGGCCTCGCCGGCGTGCGCGCTACTGGCGGTGCTCCAAAGACGCTGAGTGAGCTCTCGGTCGAGGACGTAGTCCAGAGCGCCACGGGCTCCCGAGGCGGCACCATTCTCAAAGTGCCCCAAGTAGAAGCCGTGATGCAGACGTGGCAGCGGCCGGACAGCCGCTCCATTGACTACATCTTCAAAAGCGCGTTTGAAGGCAAGGTCGAAGTAGGCTGGAACTACAGCCGCATCAGCTTCATCCGCGGCATGTGGGCCAATCACTCCAAAACGCTCCAGCGCACTTGGGGCAAAGAGTTACCCCCTGTCACGGCCATCCGCGTCACGGGCGTGCCGGAGGGTCCGGCTGAAGACATTACAGCTACTGCGACCGCAGCCCAAAAAGATGGAGAGCAGAAGCCAAGAGACCAACGACAATCGTCTTCCACACCCGCATCCACTTCTGCAGAGGCGGGTCCCTCCTCTTTCTCTGCATCCGCATCTGCTTCTCAGGAGAAACAAAAAGAAAAGGATCAAAACAGACGGCAATCCAACAAGATCACAGCCGAAGTCAAAGTCCCCCAGTCCAAATACGAGTACAGGGCGCTTGAGCCGCCCGTGATCGAAACACCCCAGCTGCGCGATATGGGCGAGGCCACGCCGCCGCTCGAGTGGATCGGCTTGCACCGGGATCGGTTGCCTAACCTGACGCACCAGATTGTTATTGTGTCGTTGTTGGAGCTGGCGGGCGAGGTGGAGGACGCGTATAGTAAGATTTTGGGGTCCACTTGAGGTATGGTGGTTGGGGTTGAAATGGGAGTGTCGTAGCGTGTATGGGCGAGAGGTGTGGAGGGGAGAGATGATACAGGGAGAGGGGTGTATAAGGAGAGCGTTCGAGAAGTGTGGGAAAGAAGAAGGAGGTTTGGAAGTCTGGCGGTCTACCATGTTTGTTCAAGAATTAATGCTTATTTTTCTGGAGGGCATAACTTAGGCTCTTCCTCGTTTTCTAGCACTAAACCTGCATCTGATTTCAATATACTAACACCCTAAGTATATTTATTTCTTAGCGAAGGTTGCTCTCTTTCAGCCAGGCACCATTTCCCCTGGATATTGTCGTTTGTCCAGGAGAACATGGACTTGCTTCTGTTCATCACCAAAGATCACAGCCTCTATCCCGTTCACTTGACTACACAAAAACCAGACAACTTTCAACATACTTCTACAGCCCTTTTTGGAGCCTCCCAACAACGTCCTTTCCCACCTTCCTCTAGCTCCCGGCCTCATAACCTACACTACTGCACCTAAACTTCAAGAACTAAGCACCGAGGAAACCAATGCACCTCACAACCGCCACCGGTCCGGTGCTTCAGGCCGGTGGTCGCCGATCTTGGTTATTTGAACTTTCCCTCCGTTGATTCGATGTCAGTCAGTAAGGGTAGTTTTCCGGAGGTGCGCAGGTATAGGTACTTATGTAGTAGGCATCTTTTCCCACATCCTTGAAGGAACGTTGATACGCCCAGGTAGCAAGTGGCAGACAGCTGTTGGTCACAAGTTCAACTATTGACGAGGGGTATGGGGGCAGCAACAGAGCCCGGCGAGGTCTTTAGTACCGCTAGCTACAAAAAGAAAAGAAAAAAGCAGCTTCGGGGGAGGAGGATTCCGAGATCTCGAAAAGGAACATGGCTGGATTGTCTGTCCAAGCCCACGAATGTGACTCTACAAAGGCCTAATGTGTTTTGGGGAAAACAGACAAAGGTAATGGTTCGGCGTCTATAGTTTGGTCGGGAGATGCTTGGTTTGGCTGCTTCGAGGGAGCCATCGACAAGAGATGGATGACGCTCTATAGACGCGCGCGGGAAGAGAGAGTTGGTATGCGGCGTGCAGCTAAGTGACGGCCGACCAACTGTTAAGTGATTTCTCAAGGCGCTTTCGGTCATTGTTTGACGAAGGTATCGCGAGGGAGCAAAGAAAGGACAGAATAGATTTAGCCGCTGCGATCCCAACTTGTCCTTAGCCGCCATTGGTGTCCTTCAGATATCATACCCTTTGATGGACTCCGCGATCCCGTCATAGCATATAGTACGGGTGTGATTTGTGTCCTGGGCGGTATCTGACTTCGTTGGTAATAGTCCCCAGTCGTTGTTGTGTTCATGAAATGGGTAGTTTATATATCGGCCATCGAGGATGTAGTATGGAAACGCCAGGATCGCATAATAGGAAGGGGTCAAATGTCCTGCGGTGGTAGGGATTAACGCCAGAAAGACCTCGACAGTCGACGCATGTATGTCGGGATAGGTTGAATTCTATAAAGGCATTGGGGGACTCGACGTTGGAGAGGGAGGATGGATTGTAGGAGACGTTGCAGTGATTGGTTGGTAGGTGATGTTAGTGTAGTGGCCTTTTCGTTGTGTTTGACTTGCCTTCCACTTGCAGCCCTTGCTTCCCCATTCACAATTTTGCATCTCCTGCATGTGCTTCCCATTCGTCATGCTTTCCGACTTCATGTCCTCAAAGGCCTCTTACACTCGCCCCATTATACATACACTACTAACTGCGGGCAACTGATACGCCAACCATACTCCTGACAATGACGCCGACCGCGCACAACAGACGACGTTGGTCAAAGAAACCGTCCACCAACGCTAGCTAAAACACGAAACGTTGCGCCGCTTGAACCTTGATTACCAACCCAACCCGTAGGACGTCATGTACTTCAACATGAAGATGAATTTCTTGGCCCTGGCTTACCGAGAGCCAAATTGCGAGACCGCCAGCCACCAAACACCATTGGATGCCCTTCAAACGGCGCTTCATTTGCAGACTTGCTGCTCCTACCGCGGCGTGATATGGTCTGAATTCCGGGCAAACTTGCGCAACTCGTCAGTACCTACCAAAGGACCGTGAGCCACGCGGAACAGGCATAGCATTTCCCATTCAGAGTATGCTCGATATGCTGCGCGCAAGGGTGGACTGGGTCATTCGTCACGAATCAGACTCAAGGTGGAAGTCTCCTCCAAAAGGGACGGCTGCGTGAAGGGTGTTCATGAGGGCATGATGGTGCTTCTGGCTCTCAATATTGTGACCCATTAAGCGCGGCAGAAGCCCACTGACAGTGAATGGTATTGTCTTTTCGTCTCGTCTTGAGGATTTGCAACTACATAAATCCAGCCCACCTCCCACCAGTTCTCCCGACAAATAATCTCCATATTTCCCTTACCTCTCCCTCACTGAAAACAGTCCCTAATATACTACGGGCAATCGACAGATCCACACAATGTTGTACAAGTCCTTAGCCGCTGGCGTTATCGCCTTTGGCTTGCCCACTTTCGTGTCGGCCACCCTGATCTTCGTTACTTCTATGGGTACATCGACGGATCCTGGATTTCTTGGCACCATCAAGTATGCGGACGGAAAGCTTGAGGTCATCAACAAGCAGCTCGGCATCTGTGGCAATAACCCTTCATGGTTGGAATTTGTCGGCGACCACATTTACTGCCTCGATGAGGCTTGGAGCAGCATCTCAACTGGCTCCCTCTACAACTTTCAGGTCCCCAGAGATGGCACGAATCTCACGCTGATTAACAGGCTGGATACGCTGAGAGGCCCAGTGAGCAGCGTCCGCTATGGACAGAATCTCAATGGACTGGCCATTGCCGCCTAGTTAGTCCATCTCTTTGCCCTCCCATCACTCACCCCATTCTCTGTTATGAATTAATCTGGTGAGCTAACCAAGTCTCTAACATTCCCGCTTTGTAGTGCGGGAGGGGGTTTTCAGTCGTTCGATATCTCGAATCCCGCCGCCCCCAAGGCTCTCCAAAATAGTACTTTCACAATCTCGCCGAAGCCTGGCTCCGACTCTCAGCAAAAAACATCACATGCTCATGAGGTTGTCCTGGACCCTACCGGGAACTTCATTGCGACGCCCGATCTTGGCGCAGATCTCATTCGTATCTTCAAGGTAGACAAGAATACCTTGAGCTATGTTGAATCCAAAACGGTTCCGACACCCGATCTTTCCGGCCCAAGGCACGGTGCTTTCGTTAAGCTTGACTCCGGAACCTACTTCTACGTCGTCACTGAGCTCTCCAATGAGATCATTGGGTGGAAGGTTACCTATAATAGCAATGGTCTTGATCTTGATTTTGGTAAAGAGCTGTTCATCATTCCAACACACGGCCCTGGTTCTAAGGGTATCGGAAATACCACTAGAGCTTCAGAACTCGTTATTTCGGTAAGCTCCAGTTATTCTCACGCTCCTACGGTCGATCAACTTTGTACTAATCAGTTCACACGATACGCGTGACTCTTGGACAGCCCGATAACAAGTTCCTGCTAGTATCATCCCGATTCGATGAAAAAACATTTGATCTTCCTGACCCGGAGGACAATGCGGCGGGACGGATCAAGTCAGACCCCATCATCAACTACGCCATTGAGACAGACGGCACCCTCACCCTTCAACAGGTTTTCGCTGCGGGAGGCATCAACCCGCGCCAGTTCTCCCTGAGCAAAGACGGCTCCCTCGTCGTGTCCGCGTTGCAGACTTCCGGCCATGTTGCGCTCATCAAGCGTGATGTTCAAACTGGAAATCTAACGGAATCCATCGGCGCTGTCCATCTCGGTGGACAGCCCACCTTTGCCAAGCTCAAGGAGTGAGTTCATCCTTTCAATCTTGTTTCCGAGGGAGAGGATGACTGGAGAGCGAGGGAGATCTCTACATACTGCCTAGAGGCAGGCTTGTAACGAGGAAGACAAACCAGTCCCCTCTATGACCGGGAATGCGCCGGCAAAACGGTGATAACCCGGGTCATTTATCACACACGAACCGTTACTGACAAGATACTTCGCTATGCAGGGATACGAGATGCGCCTAGATCAGGGAGTGAACTGGTCTTCGGTTCGAAAAGGGATGCCCGTGCCGATTTGTTTTTCCACTGAAGACGTGAAGCAGGGAAGGAATGGAATGAGAGAAGCAAGGCATTGCGGGAAGGGATAGTCTGTGTAGGGGAAAGGGAAAGTTCCGTACTTGCGCTCAGATACCTAGGTATGCCGCATATATGTCAGGCTGGATTTTCCAAGAATGCTACCTAGCGTACTTGAGTAATGAGAATGGGAAAACGAATTCATGAAAACCATAAGTATTCATAACTCAGCTGGAGACTGCTGTTCAATTTGGCCCTGCATGACATGAGTGTCATTTGACTAAAGGTCATTCAAAGAGCCTGAGTATGCGGGTGCAAGCAAGGTCTGGTAGTATGCACGTGGATGAGTACCTGCATATGGATATGCCATGCCATGTTGAATTGATGACAATGGCAATGTCAACGTCAAGCAAGTTGAATACCATTGTTCAGATTTGGTGTCGCCTCTCTACCGCATCAGAATTCTCCGCTCGGCTCTAGGGGCCCACGGGTTCTCTGTGCTTGCTTTCGGTTCCCCCTAGCCTGCTTGCTTGCTGGCTTGATTTGTGATACCGAATGTGTCGAAGTGATTTGGCACATTTCACTCTTTGCCGGGGCAGCGTATTTGCGTAAAACTTGTTCGACTTCCTCTACATCCCACAAAACGTCCATCCAAATGACCATGTACGATAAGGGCGAGCGCATGGATAAGTGATGAATTTCTGCACTTGAATTTTCGATATCCAGATCCGGCTATCGAAGAGCCCTAGTAAGTGCCCATCCACTAGCAAAGATCGCCGCTTGTGCCCCAGTTAGGTTTTCAAGGCGGGTGCGTGTACTACCTCTACCTAGTGTAGGTCCCTAGCGAGTGAGTGGGTCCGTAAATGGGATGTGTAAGTCAGATACTAACAGGAATGGCCGCGATTCTCACCATATCTGTTGTTGGTTATGCACACCCCCTTTCCGAAGCCACCTACGAGGCTAGGTACTTTTAGATTGTCTTGGTGCTTCGCGTTAGACTTCTAGGCCAACCCAATGGAGCGCCGCTAAAAGGAAGGCAGAAACAGGGATTGTGAAAAGGAAATAGAGCCGGTTGAGAGCTCGTCACGACTAAAGGAAAGTTGACAGCAGTTTTAAAAGAAGTGGCTGGTGAGCCACGGTTTTCGAAAATCAAATGAATAGTCGTGCGTTCAGCGAGGATGTACCGAAAACGTGGAGTATAACACCACACACCCAGAGATGCGACTTCCTCTAATTTTATTCCAAGGCCGCTGTTCCGTCCTTCCAGTATTGCAGTTGTACTTACATGTAGGGAGCGCCACTTCCCGACTGGCAGCGTGGACTTTGGTGAACTTGGACCCATAGACTTGTATATAGTCCGATCCCATAACCAGCTATCAACATCACTGCCCAACGGGCCAGCCACAAGGCACAGTCCAATAGAAGACGGCCAGAATCGGTACTGAGATATCAGTATCAAAACGCAAGGTGAATAGCATATTCGAGCCCAGTGTCTGTTTCTGACCGAGGTCAGCACCGCAGTGGAACTTATCAATTTCCCAAGTCAAGCGCCAAGCGAGTACAGAATTATGTGCCCAAGTAAACTGCCCGTAACAGGGGCGTGTAGTATTGTTCCGTCTTGGCCCTCAAGGGACGTCGCTGACGCTACGTTTAATATTCCGGTGTAGTCGTCGGCTCATGCTAGACAGAGTATCAACAGCGGTGAACAACAAGGAGAACCTTAAATGTTCAAGTCCCATTATGTAAATCCACGTCCGCATCCTTTAAGACCTCCCTCGACACTGGTAAGGAGAAGAGAGGCGGTTTCGTCCTCAGCAACCGAAGTGCAGGTAATATAGACGTGGGGGATTTTCCTCTCGGACCGGGGAAAACAAGAAATGTAAGCATTATGATAGCTCAACATGTCTATACACGCGCCTAGCCTAAGGAAGGCTTAACGTGCTTGGCTTTCCGCAAAATCGTTACATAATTCGGAGCGGCGACTAACGGCACTTTTGGAAATTCCGTGTTAACCGAGGTCGTTCTGGTCACGGGTACGGAGTCCCGGTACAGATGTATCTCGAATTCCCCGTCCGGCCCCACTTCCTTTCGGTGCCCGGGCTGCCAGGCTACTCATCGAGGTCTAGACATGCGGACTTGCGGAAGTATGCAGTGGGTGGCTTCGCTGCTACAGACGTGCCGGTTAATATATTCTGGGTAGCGAGACCCAGCCAGTGAGACGCAGGACCCATGTCTCACATGCTTCCTTTCCTTTCCTTTTTTTCTTTTTTATATGATTTTATATCCGTTTTTGGACAGGTTTTCGTAGTATATCCTGATTTGTCCTGTTACTACTCGGGATGGATAGCCCGCTCTCTTGTATCTTGGACTCGCCTGTTAGCTAAAGTCAAGGGGCGGATGTTTCCCAACACTTTTACCTCTCGTCTTCATCCCCCCTGAGGCACTGGACGAGCCTTGTAGTGAACCCTGATATTCTTCCCGTCTCGGTCCGAGCCTATTAACTTGTCATCGATCTGTCATTGATCTGTCATTTTTATTGAGCTGAGGTTGCTGCATGGGTTGAAATCGCTAAATGCAATTCAGAAACCGAATATCAGCATCTTCAACCTTCCCGCGGTCGCATGAAGAGAGGTAGATTCAAGGGGCTTGTTGCAAGTAATCGGACCGAGCGTCTCTGAGGTGTGTTTCGGTACCGTGCTTTATACAGACGTCAAAGATCCAACGCGCATCCATAGAACTCTCGTAACCAAGTTCCGGATGGCATACCCAGTGGTACTTACTGGTGAACATTTATGAAATGGTCTATTAATACCCTTGGCGACCAATCCGTCAGCAACAGCAATCAATGCTCAACTGGTGATAGGCTGTCGAGCTCTAGACCAAATGCGGCATACGGCGGGTTGATGTGCCCTTCCAGACTATCCATATCTCGAATGAGTCCCAGAGATTTGAGAGACGTAGGTATTGACCTCAAATACTGCGCAGGAAGAGGGGTCCTCGTTTTTGCTGTCGGGAACATTCAAATCCGTTAATCTTTGGCTACCTTGATAAGGATTGATTTGGCAAGCCCTGCGTTTCAATTGTGGGACAAAGCTCTAATCAAAAAGCAAAGGCAAGGCTCTTGATGACTGATGAATAACGGTTCTTCAAACCATGGTGATTGCGGTGGCAGAAAAGCTCTGACATCCGTTCGAAGCAGCAATGAAAGTGGGCACGGGAGAGGACAGTATGGAGATGAAGCCAAGCGAGCTAATTCCTGTGTCCAAGCTTGGAGATACTGACCGGTCTTGGGTACCCGTTGATGACAGGTCAGTCAGGCTCTAGGAGGATGGGTGGAAGATGGGTGCTGGAAGGCTTGTCCTAACTGCCCGGATACGGACAACACTAGTCACCGGAGCCAAGAGTGGAGTTACTCCATATACGCACTTTGTGTACCACAGTACAATTGTCGACGCCCAGAAGCCTATTGAAACATGGGCCAGCAAATTCTGGAAGGAGTGGAGGCTCGGAAGGGTGGGTGTGGTGTTCTGGGTGAGACACGCACGCTGGCCGGGTGGGGAAGATTCGACAGGACCGATGCTTTCGGTTGACGAATTTATGCTAAATTGCGACACGCAGGGTTCAGGCAAGCCTTATGGACTTCCATGTGGTTTCAAATGGCGACCTCGAGAAGTGGGCTTGAACGCATTTGGGTGAGGTGGTGTGCCTATGCGAATGTGTGCATCTCTAGCTGGGTCATTACGTGTTGTCGTTCTTGTCGCAATTTGGTACGCAGCTCTATCATGGCCCATTGTACAACCTTCATGACAGTGGGAGCTCATGGCAGATACTGCTTCGGAGCGTTTTTGGTGATTCCCCCCCTGTGGTGACGCCGAGAAGGGGACGTGAAGGACGAGTCAAGAAGGGTGCATACAATCAATAAACACTAATACCCGAACAGCCAGGCGCTAGCGTGTAGTACCGAAAGCCGCAGGAGGAGAGAGATATGTTGATCCACGATTACATTACGAGTATCATCAAACCTCGTCTGCATGGCCCTGATCACCGTCACCCTTATTACTAGGAGTGCGAGCTGCGTGATGCACAATGCTGGCCGCGACTGAAGCAGTCTCCAAGATGTAATGAAAGGCTGTCTTGCAAGTAGAGTAGCATGACGTTGTCTACACTACGTATCAAGAGTGTGATATGGTGACCCTGGTTGAGGACAATGACGGATGGACTCGAGTTGAGGACGTCGAGTCGAATTGTTAGCATGGTGGTTGGTTGGAGTTTGAAGTTCCGTCCGGGTCCTTCCCTGTGGCAGCTTGCTGGTGGGTCTCTCTCCCCGCATCGCATCTGTCCAGACACCTTGTACTATGTAGTCGGGTATAATGTTCAGTGTGGAAAAGGCCATCAAACTAAGTAGGCTGCTCCCACTGTCTCAAGTTAGTTGTTTCAACCTGAAGCAAGCCAGCGAGACGTTGTGCCTGCCGTTCTTTCGTCGATTCCCCCGCACAGGTGGCCGTGCCGCCTTCATGGGCTGGGGAAGGATCCTGGGGCTCGTCTGCTGGAGAGCTGGATATCCGGGGTGCGAAATGGCCACTGTGACTGGCTGCAACTGCACGCACTGCTTACCTAAGGTGGGTTTACGGACGTGCGGATCCCGTTGTCCCCAACCTTCTACACTACACTAGGGTATTTGACTTTCTCCACACGTTAACGGTTCCTCTCCGCAAACTTCTGAGACTCCACCCG